GAGGGGCTAAACCCCTCCACCTGCAACCCAGCTCCCACCCCAGCATAGCCATGGGATGAAGCAACTTCTTGTTAGGACGACGTTATTGGGAAAGGAAGGTGACCACCCAAATTCAGCGGAGTTCCTGCCAGCACCCACCCAAGAAGCTGGAAGGTAAAGGGTGTCTCCCAGAAAAAGCCCTGAGGCAGGCAGGTTCAGGGAGAGCAGGGATCAGCCCTGACCAAGGCACCTGCTGCCTTCCCAGGCAAAGGGTGGTCAGAAAATGCCCCAAAGGGGATGGGGAGGCAAGGTGAGGCACAGAAGAAATCCCAGAGCTGGAACTGGAGGAGCCAAGGCAGGGGCTCCTTTGCTCAAAAAAAAAAGTAAAATTAAATAAAATTACATGTTCCTGTGCCTTTATCCACATCTGCGTGGCTGCAGCAGATTTGGGGTGAAGAGGTCCAACTGTGCCTGGGTTGTCTGTGGAGTATCAGCCCTCTCCAAAGTCCCTTCCCCAACATCCTTAAGGACGGAGATGGCAGATCCGGGTCTCCCTTCTTGGCTTCTTCTCCCCCTTCCACAGAGAACAGGCCCTCCCCAGCACCCAGCCTTGTGGCCCTGAGCCATGGGAAGCCCTGACTCATCTCTTCCTGGGTTTTGGCTGCATCCCAGCCTCCCCTGCACTCCGGTCCAGGTGATTTATCACCTGGAAAGGTTATCAGCCCCCAATCAAATCTGCTTTGGGCAGCTGATTCCTGGAGCAGACAGCAGCAGGCCAAGGGCATCTCTGCGCGTACAGAGGCTGAGCCAACAGCGAAGAGCCCATATCAGGGAGAGGAGACAGTGAAGCCAGGAGTGGGAAACAAGAGAGGGAGGCAATCAGACACTGATTGACAAAAATGAGCATCCCAAGGGCTACAGAAGCCACATAGTAAGGCCAGAGCTCATCCTGTCCCACGAACAAGCACCACACGAGCAGTAAGAAAAAAAAAAACAACAAACAAAAATGAAATGTTTATTCCCACCTGGTGTGGCTTCCCTGCGCTGCTCGCGGCAGGCTGCAGCTGGACAAGACTGTCACCCTCACAAGGTGAGCACGTCTCCTCATTTGCCCCTTACGTCCACAGCACGTCCCGGCTCTAGACGGGGCTGTTGAAGGCCTCGGGGCCAAGGGCTACAGCAGCAATTTGTGAAGGCAGGGGGGCTTCAAGGAAGGCAGTCAGGGAGGAGGGGGTCCCGGCAGCCGCTGGGGGCTGCGTTTGGCGTGGAGCCTCCTCTGCATCCCTTCCCCGGGACACGGAGCTGCTGTGGGAGCAACTGCAAAGCAGATCTCTGCTGGACCGACGAGAGCAGGCAGCGGTTCCCAGAGGCAGCAGCCTGCTCAGGAGGAATTCATGCTCTCCCACTGCCGGAAAATGCGAAACACCTTGCAGGACTTCACCGAGAGACTCTGAGAGAGGGAAGCAAAGCGACAATCAGAGGTTAAGGTGGCACAACAGAACCTGCAATCGCCGCCACCCTGCCTACGAAGCACTTGAGAAACTGCAGCAGAAAAAAAAACCACATCTGAAATATCATAACTGACTGCCTGGACATCAGTTTGCTCCTCTTCACTGTCAGCCCTATCGAGCAGAACTGGAGGGCAGAAGAGCAAGGTGGCTGCAAGCAAGAAGCAAGACGGGACTCCAACTGCCCTCTGGCTCCAGCTCACACCTCCAGAGAAGAGCAACAAAGCTGGTGAGGGGTCTGGAGAATTTGTCTTTGGAGGAGCAGCTGAGGGAGCTGGGATTGTCTAGTCTGGAGAAGAGGAGGCTGAGGAGAGACCTCATTGCTCTCTACAACTACCTGAAAGGAGGTTGTAGTGAGGTGGAGGTTGATCTCTTCTCCCAAGTTACAAATGATAAGACAAGAGGAAATGGCCTCAAGTTGCACAGGGGGAGATTTCCTAATAAGGAAAGATTTCTTTACTGAAAGAGTGGCGAGGAATTGGAACAGGCTGCCCAGGGAAGTGGTGGAGTCACCACCCCTGGAAGCGTTCAAAAAACATGTAGATGTGGCACATGGGGACATGGTTTAGTGGTCAGGGTAGTGTTGGGTTGATGGTTGGACTTGATGATCTTAGAGGTCTTTTCCAACCTTAATGATTCTGTGATCCCACAGGACATGGCAGAGCCAGAAGGGACCAGCCCCTTGGGGACACGACTCACATGAAGTCCACCAGTCCCTGCAGCTCAGCCTCAAGCAAAGCAGGGGGGAACCGGCAGGAGGAATCCAGGTGGAAAATGGGGTCGAGGGAGGCAGCAGCAGGTTCTGGCTGCTCCACAAATACTCAGGGAGGGGGGCTTTGGCCTCTGCTCCACTTCCCAGGCTCAGCAAAGCCACCGGTCCAACAGCCTGGAGCTGGTGGCCAACGAGAGGGTTGGGAGCTCTCTACTGGGACATGAGATGAAACTCGACGCTGGGCAGCGCCGAGCCGCTTGGGATATTCTGTTCCTTACAGCAGTCCATGAGCAGATCTGCGCACAGCACATCATTGTCACGGAGGAGACCCGGCCGAGAGACTGTCAGCGCAGCTGGACGGGAAGCTGAGACTGCACTTTGGTCCTCACCACCCAGCTGGGTTTGCATTCAGCCTGAATAAAGCCCATTTACCCCAAATTCTGCCCAAAGGCTTTCAGCTCCGGGCAAGGCTGGGGCAAGGAGTGGTTTGAACGCTTGGGTCTGGGGGTCCCGCAGGCTCACCACAGGCTCCGTCTCAGGCACTCGGTCGCACTTTCTGGTGGCGAGGAGAGTGTTCAGTACCACTTGCCAGCCCGGCTCTGCCTTCGCAGCCTCCTTCTCTGTCTGGGCTGCAGGATCCTCCAGGGCTTCCCCTCCCTCCGCTGTGTTGACCCAGGGACACCAGTCACGATGCTGAGAGCTGGGGTCAAAGAAGCTCTTCAAAGAAATGTCCTGGGTAGGAGAGGAGGTGACGGTGAAGGAGAATAGTGACAGCATTGTTTAAAACAGACCCTTGGTGACACAGTAGAACTTTCTCTGAGTTTAAACACCATCCCTGAGCTGGCTACAGGCACAACCTGGTCACTGAATCAGGAGCACCCTGCCCACATCCCTCTCCCCCCAGTCCAAGCTCTCCCTGTGCCTACACCCAGATCACTCACCGAGCTGCTGGAAGAGCAGAGCCGAGCCCGCTTGGCTCTGCGGAGAGGACTGGATGGCACCTCCACGTTGTCCCCCTGCCCCATACTGCGGGTGACAGGGCGGCTCCTCAGAGTGGGGCTCACTGCCTCCGTATCAGCCCGGTCCATGGGGACGGGAGAGTCCCAACCCCGCGGGCGAGAGATGCCTGGGGACAGGCTCTTCTCGTGCTGCCAGTGGGCAAAGAACACGGAATTAATAGAGCTCCTCTGGTCACCAGCACGTCCTCTGCCCAAAAGAGACAGGGAGGCCCTGCTCAGCTCAAACAAGGTCTCAAAGCCTTCTCAGCCGCCCTAGCAGGAGCTGTATCACCTTCCCTTCACACCCGAAGCATCTCAGATGTTTCTAGTTGGACACGGGTGAAGGCAGCCCCTGATTTAGGGCATCTTGCGTGGGATGTTCCAGGGTGCTGCCTGGAAAGGCTCTTGTTCTGCTCTCATACAGAAGGGCTGAGGGAGGGGAGGACAGAGAGCTGTGAAGAGCAAGGACAAAGGCAGCAGCAAGGCACTTGTGCTGGGCATCACCTACACCTGGGGAGAGCACTAAAATGCGCCTCCTTCAATATAAAAAGTCAGTCTTGACCCCTATGTGTCCCTGTATCACCCAAACAACCGGAGCTCATGGGCCATACCTGCTCAGAGCCCAGAGGGAGCGTGTCTTGGCTCCGCGTGAGCATCCTGCGCGGAGACGTGGGCACGAGCGGGAAGCGCTCAGCGGATGCTGGCAGTGCGGCGCTGGGGCTGCAGGAGTCCAGCTCTGGCCCCACGGACTCCAGCTGGTGAAAGCCCCACAGTCCCACCTTCCTCATGCAGCGGGAGCAGGTGATCACCGAGAGGTGGACGGAGCCAGGCGTAGTGCTGCGGAGACAGAGTCAGGTCACGAGAGAAGGTCAGGGATGAACCTGGGCCCTTTCTCAAAATTGCAGCTTTCAGAACAGCTGCAGGTATTTGGCAGAGCACAAGAGCGATCTCAGTCGCAGGTACCCGAGCCAGCACATTTCAAGACATCAGTAGCCCTCAGATGAGGCACAGACTTACTGTTTTTGTAGCTCCAAGTACTAAGAAGTAAAAAAGAGTCCATTAAAAGCCATCTATAGCGTTGATTTAAAGTGGTTCGGTTACATTTTGGCTTGCCACAAAGCAGGAGCACGCCGTCAGGGCGTATCGGCTGAAAGTGTCCCCACCCTCAGTCCTCAAGCTCCCTGGCCACAGCAGCAGGACACCTTAAGCCCATTTCCCCTTCACCTTCAACAAGGTGCCTCAGGCACAAGAGGTGCAGTTCTGCTCACAGCAAGCGCTTTGGGAACCTGCGAACCTCCGGGTCACAAAACCTCCCTTCCCTCCCTGCAGGCCTAACAAGCAACAAAAACATTATCGAGAATGACATTTCAGGGATTGATTTCAACACCTAAATCAGCAACAAGCAGGGAAACCCACAGCTCGGTGGCTTCAGACCCTTTGCCATCTCTGGAAGACATCTATTTTAGATTAGGTAGCTTTGCTCTGGGGTTTCTGGAAGCCTTGTCAACGTTAAGAGTTGGAGACAATAACAAAATAACGAAATGAGACACGGAACATTTCACAGGAGGGACCTCCACGTTTCTCCAGCCCCAGAAAGGTTTCACCAGCAACCACAAAGCGCCTCCAGACACTTCAGTGCCAGTCCTACATCACCACCCACCTGCAAGTCCAGCCACACAGGGCCAGGATGCAGGCAGGGACGTGCACTTGCAGGATTTCCGTGGTGAACTTCATCGGCGGTTTCTCTCCCTCTGTTTTGTGTTCTAGTTCCTCCCCGATCAGCTGCAGGAGCAGACTGACCTTCTCCTCCGTCAGAGACTGTGGGGTAGAAAAAGGTGGCAGAGCAGGCTGTCAGAAGGAGGCTGATAAAATACTCTGCTTCTACTCACAGACCACATCCTACACGGAGAAAACGCCTTTTTCACTCCCCGAAAGGGCCGAGTGCATGAGCCAGCACCCTCAGCACTTCTACTCTGATTAAAAGGCAAAAGCCACGGAGAGCGATGGCTCCCTCCTGCCTCGCGCCCGTCTGACTCTCTTTGCTTCACAGGCTTGGTTCAAGCACCATTTGCTCCCCGACCACATGTGGGGACAGTGGAACAGGTCACAGTGGGACAGTCAGGGAGTTAGATGTAGTGACGTGACACATCCGTCGGCTTTACGCTGCCTCTTCCTGGGGGGGGGCTCTGCTGAGTTTCACAGCTCAGCCAGCCCGTGGTGGCAACCCTAAAACACCTCTGTGATGTCTGCCGAAGGGACAAAGAGTTCCTTGGTTCCCACACAGCTTCTCACTGTCGAGAGCCATCTGTTTGCTCGGCCAGCGAGCGCCCAGCAAGCCAGATTTGGCTGGAGTAGAGCAGGGCCTGGCCAGATCCCTACGAGGAGGCAATCCCACGCTTGTTCCTGGCTGTGGCTACACTCCAGCCTCTTCTGGGGCAGCTCCTGCTCTTCCCTCCTGCCTGCTGAGCCTCCTCGCACAACTGCCTTGCACGAGAGGCCCCCCTCATACTGCGCTCCCTGGGGTTTCCTTCATTTTCACGGGCCTCTGCCCACATCTCTGCTCTGCGGCATCTCAAACTTGCGATCCTACCCAACGCAACAACTGCCTCCCGTCCTGTGGGATCCCAGCTAAAGGAGCGATCCACAGGCTGCTGCATCTCCTGGCGCGCTTGGAGGCAGCAAGGAGGAGTGGGAGGTGCCAGGAAGAGCTCCCAAAGGAATCCGGGGGATCTCAGATCACTTCTGCCAGGGCACCAGAGAGCAGTACGCATGCTGAGAACGGTACAGAAGAGGAACTGGACACTTCTCACTGGCAACAACGTGTTGACACGAGCTAGATGTGCCTACGTTGGTCCAGGGCTCCCACGGCAGACAAGCCTTCCCAAACTCCCTTTCACGGACTTCCAGAAACACCAGGTGAAATCACCATGAGAGGAAGGTCCGAGGAGAAAGCCAAGGCGATGACAAACCACGTGCAAGCTAAAGTCTCTGATTTGAACCTTGCAACCGTTTCGGTCAGTGTTTGCACAGCACAGGCATGTCTGGCACCATCACTGGGGACTTGAACGCACCCAATCTCGGGGGGGCAGGTGGGAACTCACCATGTTTTTCATGTCCTCCGGTCTGAGGGAGGGCAGCTGCAGCTCCAGCCGACACCGGCTCTGAAAACGCTCCAGGAAGTCCTGGAGAAGGGCTCTGGGCTCATCCACCAGCAACATGGCAAAGCGATCTGGTGAAAGCAAACGCAGGAGGCCTGAGCTGTGCCACGAGCATTCCCACAACCCCTCCTCATCCTGCAGGGCAAGAGAGGAGGTGAGGCCAGCCAAGGTCTCCCCGTAATGGTCTCTTGGCTTTTAAAAGAAAAGCTGAGCACAGCCTTTTCCCTTCGCAGCGCAGCTGCAGTTTTGAAGATGAAATCTATTGCTCTCTGAGCATCCTATGTCATCCGGTCTCACCCACGTCCTCCCAGTCACAACCCAAACAGTGTTTTAACTGCCCTGGAGGCACATGAAAGTTAACAGAGACAGCTTGGCCTGGGACTCAAGATCAGGAGCTCCAGCCGTGACCCAGTTGTTTATTTGCTGAGGCTGCTCAGAGACATCACTCTGTCACTGCGCTTTTCAACACCTCCACAGGGATAAAGGGGACTGTGAGTCCGGACACGTGCGCTAACCGGGCTCCGAGACACCAACCTGGGCAGGGGCTGTCCGGCCAGAAGCAGAACTTCTCATGAGCAGTGCACAAGGCTTTCTTCAGCTCCCCGCAGCGTTCCTTATCTGCAAAGCAAAGCTCACTTCTACTCCCCTGCGGAGCCACCGCCTCGGGGAACGGTTAGAAAAACCAAACCATGGGAAGAAAGCACCAGGCTACGAGGGCTTCCCTGCTCCTCCCCTGCAGCACCTGAAGCTGTAGGTTGCTGAGCCTGAAGCTCTCACCTCTGACTCCTCTCCCTCCCCACTAAAAAAGGGTTTTGCTGCACCTCCAGCCTCCCTGCAGGCAACCACGGAGCAACGGCTTCCGTGGCAGCGAAGGCAGGCTGGCCCGAGGGGTTATCTCCACAACGGCGAGCGTCACCAGAGCGGTTACACCTCCCAGCTCCCAGGCACGACAAGCACAGAGCCGGGGAGCCTGCCCTGCTGCACAGCAGAGAGACAGCTCAAACCAACCACGGGCACAGGGATCGTCTCCTCCTGCCAGTTTTCCCTCCTGGGCTGCTGCCAGTCCCCAACTAACTTGCCTGACCCCTCCAACTGTGGCTGTAGGAGCCAAATTACAGCTATGTCTGGAAGCCAAACTTCCAAAATAATAATAAAAAAAACAAAACAACAAAAAAATTGATACCTCATTGAACCTATTCACACCTCTCAGAACAAATTTATAATTGCTTTTGCAATTTACTTTGCAAGTCCTTCTGCCACCCGCCTGTTATTTTACATTTTCCTAAACCAGCTCGATTACCAACCAAATAATTAGGCCAAGGTTTATTTAACAAAGATAGTCTGAACAAATAGCGGGCATCAATCGTCAGAGGAAATGCTCATGCAGCTCCCCGTTACACAGGACCCACGCTGCGCCCATCAGACAACGGGGCTGCACGCTCTGCTACCCTCCAGACAACAAAAGCACGGATTTCCCATCAAGAAAATTGAGAAGTGGAAACGACGCTTTTTTGTAGTGAGGTAATAAATGTATTTTCTGGAGGAAAAGGTTCTGAGGCTCCCAGCGTCAGGAGTGGCCGAGGCTCTGCAGGCAGGGGAAGAAAACCAGGGCTGGGCCTGTTTCAGCGAGGGCAAAAGGGGGAGAGTTTTACTGTCGGTCATCCAAACAGTTGAAAGTGGGCAGTGGAAGAGTTTATTAATTAAATCCCACAATGTGACTACCTGAACGGACCCTGATGCAACTTTGAACCATTCCCACATGATTCCATGACAGGACACGTGGGAATGGCTCAAAACTGCATCGGGGAGGTTCAGAACCGATGGTAGGAAGCATTTCTTTACCAAGAGGGTGGTCCCACATTGGAACAGGCTTCCTAGAGAGGTCGTTGATGCCCCAAGCTTGGCAGTGTTGAAGAGGCAAGTGGAAAATGCCCTTAATAATATGACTTAAAGTCTGGTTAGCCCTGAAGTGGTCAGCCAGTCGGATTAGAGGATCATTGTGGATACCTTCCAAGTGGAATTATTCTATTCTAACCCATCTCTGCGACCAAAGCAGGAAATTTTAGTTCGCAGGAGCACGTTAAAGGAAACTTATCTGCCTTGTGCCGTATTTTCAGAAACAAACACCCAGCACCCCCCAGGACAAGACTTAGGCGACAGATTTCTGCACGTGACGGGGCACGTACACCCCCAAACCCTCCAGCCCCGGCACACGTACACTTGTTGAAGTCAAAGGTGAGCTGCAGGCTCATGCAGAGGAAAGCCTGGCAGCTGGAGCACTTCAGCATGTCGCACTCCACGTTGATCCAGCCGTACTTGGCACAAACCAGAGGAGACAGCTCGTGGGGTTTGCCCGCCCACTTCAGCGGGTTCTCCCGTCAAGGATATAAAACCCAATAAATTATAGGTTGAGCAGGCGAAGCTTCGGTCAGGGTTTATTTGGCCTCTCAGGAGATGGAGCCTGCAGGGGAGCCATGGGGAGGGTGAGAGCAAAGCAGGGAGTGGGGTGACTGGAAACTCAGCATCACAAAGGATATGGTGAATGTTTCTACTCTGCTGAAATAGGCTTCCTTGCTGGCAGACTCCAAGGAGAGAGCGTCCATTTGAGAAGATCCATTCGCTGACTCCGACCAGTCGGATGTGTCCTTCCTAAAAGGAACGGCAAGTCAGCGAGCGAAGCATCTGCACTATCCTGGGGCGATTTCATTAATAAAAGATGCACAGAACGCTTTCTACCCTCTCATCCTTCAGGCTTACCCTTACAAGAACCCTTTTGGCAGAGCTCAGGAGCCCCGAGTTTCAATTATTTTACTAATAAACCAATGAAAAAAAAAAATAATGCAACAGGTAAAGCTGCACCCAAACATTTCCACAGGCCAAAATCCAGGGATGGTTGGGTCAAGGGTGAACCACGGGTCTGAGGGCAACTGTGGTCACTTGGTGTTACCAAGACACCCTCAAAGCTCAGGCCCCAGTGCTCCCAGTACCCTCCAGACTCCCCAGCACCCACCAGTAACTCTTATGACTCTCAGTGTCCCCACATTTTTCAAGTCAGAGCCCCATTACGTGGCCCGTTCAGCTCACTCAGGCTGCAGCGATGCCGGTACTCCACAGGTCCCTTCCCTGTCCTCCCAGTACTGCCTCAAGCGCACACCAGTGTCTCCCTCTGCCCGCTACTGCCTCTCAGTGTCTCAGCATCTCAGTCCCTGTTAGTGCCTCCTCACGCCTCTTAGTCTCACCAGTACTCCCAGTGCCACCACCACTTCCTCCCAGTGCTCCTTAGTCCCACCAGTACTGCCTCCCCGTGCCTCCTAGTCCCATCAGCACTCCCAGCAGCAACCAGTACTGCCTCCTGGTACCTCTTAGTCTCACCAGTACTCCCAGTGCCACTAGTACTGCCTCCTGGTACCTTCTAGTCCCACCAGTACTCCCAGTGCCACCAGTACTGCCTCCTGGTACCTCTTAGTCCCATCAGTACTCCCAGTGCCACCAGTACTGCCTCCCCGTGCCTCGTAGTCCCATTAGTACTCCCAGTCCCACCAGTACTGCCTCCCAGTGCTCCTTAGTCCCACCAGTACT